GCACTGGCGCATTATGAAAAAAATCTATATTGTTGTGGCATCTTAATGTTGAAACAGTTTTAGAGATTTAAAAATGATTTTTAAAGTCTGTATAGTTCTCTGTATAGACATCAAAAAAAACTTTCATTGTGAAGTGCCTTTTTTTTTTTTTTGGAGGTGAGATCTCACTCTGTTGTCCTCGAACTCTTGGGCTCAAACAGTCTTCCCACCTCAGCTTCCCAGGTAGCTGCCACCATGCCTGGCTAATTTTTTTTTGTAAAGGCTAAGTTGCCCAGGCTGGTGTGTTTAAACTCCTGGCCTCAAGTGATCGATCCTCCTGCCTCAGCCTCCCAAGGTGCTGGTATTACAGATATGAGCCACTGCACCCAGCTGTGAATTGCTTTATCCCATAGAAATTAGGATTATTTTTGTAGTCACGAATTGTATGTTTATAGAAGTTTTTTTTTTTTTTATTCCTTTTGATGGAGGAATATAGACGTTTTCTTAATCTGGCATTTGCTAACCTTTGTTCATTTTACTGTTAATATTCTTTGTTTGGGGTGCTGCTGCCAACTACTGCGAAGTAATTGAATGTATACATCTCTCTATATAGGGTATTAGTAATACTATATTTCAAGACAAAGAAAGTGATTTAAAACATTTATTAAGGGAGTTTTAAAAAGTCACCCTAGAACTAGCGGATGTTACTTTATTTCTTAAAGAGGTAATTATTTCTTTCCAAAAAAGATATGCCAATGATGATTATAGTCTTTAACGGCAGTAGCTTGTGAGAGCATTAAAATGTTTCTTTTTTTTATTACTAATTCTTTCTAAATTGAAAAAATGAATTAAAATATGTGTAAAGTGTACTTTTTTAAGCCAATGAGGGAAGTGGCCGGAGGAAGCAGCTTACGTTAGCCTTATAATCCAATACTATAAGCACCAACATTTGGCCTTTTAAAGCCAGTTTTTGGTTTTTAAAAATGCACCTTACACATATAATTAAAATCCTTACAGTTAAAGAAAACTAAGTATATGTGGTAGCTTCGAAAACCTCCACCACATATTGACACTCCTCCCAATAATAAGTGTAGTATGTGTTCCCTTTGAACCTGGGTGGGCTTTCGTGATTGCCTCTGAATAAAATCCTGTGGTGGTGGTGCTGAGTGTCTTCATGGTCCTTTCTCTGGAAGTGCACATTCAGAGTCCTGATCCACCGTGTAAAAGGTCTGCCTGCCCTGAAGCTGCTGTAGTGGAGAGTGACCACAGAGCGGTCCAGTGCCCCAGATGCTCCAGCTGCTTTGAGTCTTCCCAGCCTAGGTATCAGCCAGACTTGTGACTGAACAAGCCTTTGGATGATTTCAGCCCCATGCATTTTACTGCAGCCACATGAGGGACCCTAGTTGAGTCCCAGAACTATGAGCCGTAATCAAAAATAGTTGTTACTGTTTTAAGCCACCAAGTTTTGGGGTGATACACAGCAGTAGCTAGTACTTGTTTTTTATTGAAGAAAGGATTGTTTTAAGAAAGGATTTTGTTTCATGTTCTGGACCAGATTTTGTATGTTATGTCGCAAAGTCATTAGTAAAAGGGCTGGGGCAGGTAGGGTTTATTAGAGTCTATTAGTCACGAGAAAAGATTTAAAGTTTGAAAAATTCATTAGGAGATTCAAATAATTGTCCTCCTTTTTTTTCCCTAACACTGATCTTTTTATTCTAAATGCCTGTGATCAGAGGTGGAGAAACTCGAGCTCAGAAAAACTGGGACTTTCCTAATACCTAGCTCTTAAGCAATAACCTGCATTTTCTTGCCTCCAAATCTCTTTGCTCTGTTTATCCTATTTCAGTAAATATATAAATACTTTCAGTGGTGGAGAAAAGTAACTTAAAAATATGGTCGTTTATATCAGGGGTTGGCAAATTTTTTAATTTTTTTTAAAAGCCTTAAAAATATAAAAACCATTCTTATAGGCCATACAGAAACAGGCCATGAGCCATATTCTGCAGGTTTTAGTTTGTTAATTTGTGGTAAAACCAACCACACAGCTTATTGATGTCATGGACTATAATATAGATAAAAATGTGTGCATCATCAAGTGAGGATGTTGTAGTTGATCTTAAATATCCAAATAAATTTAAGACGTTTTAATGTTGGAAATACAGAACTTTGTAGTGCACTAATTTGAAATTAATCTACATGCGTACAATCTTTTAATATTTTGCATTTGCGTTGTGTTCTTTATGCTTAAGGTGTTTTTAATGTTCCCCATCTAATTTAACTATAGATTTAGAAAGCCTGAACTCCAGACAAATATTCCACTGTTATTAGACAAATGTATTTGGTCAACTTGAACTTACGTTTCTTCATCTTCAAAGTAATGGGTGATAAGACATGCCTTATTTATTTCATGTCGTGTGTGTATATAATACATCATGTGATGGTGATAAAATGGTAAAGTTGCAAAGTATTTTATTAAGGATTGGTTAATATTTGTCTTGCAAAAGTTTGTAGGTACTTTTATAAAACTGCAATTAATATACGAATTTGAATTCATTAACACTTTTTTAAAACAATAATACTGCTTTTTATAGGGAAACCATGATTTAGACATGTTTTTAAAATTTAAATGGATTTAAATTCACCCCCTGCATAATTCTTTCATTCTGTATTTATTAAATTTGGCACATATAAAGTATGTAATTTCATGTAAATATTCAGGCTTAGGAGTGATATTTCTAATTAAGATCTAGTGACTCTATGAAAAGATTTGTGTAGCACTGTATTTATTTAATTGCCTATTTTGTTGTGATAGTTTTAAGTTTTTTATTTTTGTCTTCTGCAAATATATTTGATTCTGGCCAGGCATGGTAGTTCATGCCTATAATCCCAGCACTTTGGGAGGCCGAGGCAGGAGGATGGTTTGAGGCCAGGAGTTTGAGATTAGCCTGAGCAACATAGAGTGAGACACTGCCTCTACAAAAAATAAGAATTAGCTGGGCTTGGTGGCATGCGCCTGTAGTCCTAGCTGCTCTGGAGGCTGAGGCAATAGGATTGCTTAAACCCAAGGCTGCAGTGGCCTCCCAAAATGCTGGGATTACAGCCATGGGCCACCACGCCCTGTCACCATTCAGATCCTGAGGGAATTTTGTCTTTAGTGAAAACATAAATCTAGAGGATGAGAGAAGCTTTTTTGGTTGGCATATCTGGATTTTAACTAACAGTTAAAAAAATAAGTAAACAAAAATAAAAATCCATTATAGGATATTTTCATTTTAGGAAAATGGTAAAGTACAGATCAGCATTGATACCACCCAACAAAATTAATCATTATACCATTCCGGACACAGTAGTTTTCAAATATCTTTCTTAAATAGAAACTGTCTGTCTCCAAATATAAAGGAAAATGTTAACCTTTTCCATTTCTTGTGTGAGCTTATTTCCCTTCTTACGTCCTACATTAACTGTTTCAGTCTCATTAGACACTGATTCTTACCCCTTTGGGGAAATTTGAATCCCATCTAACCTGTTCATAGACCCCAGATTAATTAATAAACTTTGCTATACTTGGAGTGGGCTTTGCTTTTTGCTTGGAGCCATAAATACAACTTTTCTGTCTCATCAGTTTTCATGACTTTATACTTACCCTTTGCTACATCTTAAATTTGGAAAGACATTTTTGATACTGGAATACTTTGTGCTTAAGAAAAGCACAAAGGTTTTAGTATATTATTTAAAAATGAGCTTTTTTTTTTTTTTCCTTTTCTCTTTGGAGAGAATTAAAAGGAAAAAATCAGTTTAAAGTGGTATCTGCATATATTTCTAATATTTATTTTGTCTTGTTGGACAGGGTGGTGGTAGGGAAACAAAACTTTGCTGTTTTCATGATCCTTGAATGTCAGTATAGTCATGGTTACCTTTTCTGAACAAGTTAAACTTATATAATCCACCAGCAGGTTGCAACTTTTTTGATTGTGTAGCACATCAGTGATTTTTTTTTTTTTTTACTTTTTATTTTGACATAATTTCAAATAAACAGAATAGGTACAAGAGTAGTACAGAGAATTTTCTTTTCCTCTCCAACCACATTCTGCAAATGTTAACATTTATTGTGTTTTTCTTATCCTCTTTCAATCTATGTACACATGCACAATTTTTTCTTTTTCAGAACCATTTGTCAGTTGCAGAAATGGTGTATCTTTTCCCCTAAATACTTAACGATTTCCTAAAAATAAGGACTTTTCTTTTACTTAAGCATAGGACTATCAATTCAGAAAATTAACATTGATACTTACTCTAATCTACAAGCCGTATTCAGATTTCAGTAGTTTTCCCAGTTATATTTCAGATCATGGGTTGTGTTCAGTTATCATATCTCTTTAGTCTCCTTTATTATGGAATAGTTTCTTAATCTTTGTGTTTCATGACAGTGACATGTTAGGATGCTCTTTAATTTGGGTTGTCTGATGTTTCCGCATATGTAGGGTTAGATTTTGCACTTTGCATAGGAATATCACAAAAGCATTGTTCTGTTTTTCTTAGAGCATCATAACAGCAGTTCTGTGATACTGATTTGTCCCATTATTGATGATGTTAACTTTGATTACCTGATTAAGCTGGCATTTGCCTTATTTCTGCACTATAAGGTTACTAGATTTTCCTTTGTACTGTTGTGGGGAGTACACATTTTGATAAATGTTATTTATAAATTGTACACATGTATTTCTAGACTGATTTATTGTGTACATTTTAAAGCCATCACAAGTTAGAAATTAAAGGTTGAAATAAAAATCCTTTTGTGTACCCCAGTATATCTTTTTATAACCTATGGAATGTATACTCCTAGCTTTGTAGAAGACCTCTGTATATATCCTTTACCTTGTATTGTTTTATAGAAATGAATCTTGTGTCATAATCCTGAAATAAAAAATCCTTGGGGCTTATGATCTTACATTTAGTCAGTACTTAAAATAAATGCGCAATGGTACTGATTTTTTTCTATTAATTCTTAATTTTATTTGCAGATGGAGAACTTAATGTTCTAGATGATATTTTGACTGAAGTACCAGAACAGGATGATGAACTGTATAATCCAGAGAGTGAACAAGATAAAAACGAGAAAAAGGGTATGTAAGATTTCTACTATTTTTGTTAAAATGACTATAAATAGACGAGATGCAATTTCTTAAGAACTGCTTTTGTACTTGTTCCTTGAAGGTGGTTAACACCAAACATGTAACAAACTGTTCTTTTTAATAGATGAAAGTTATTAAATATATGGATTTGTTCCAATAGTCAAAAGCTATGTTTTCTTTTAGATTAACTCTGGAGTAAAAATACTTTAGAAGACATTTTAAAGAAATGAGGCTTTATGCTCCCTGATGTATATTAATCTCCCTGTTAATCTTTGGTGAAATAAGTGGAATATTACAAATACTTTGTGTCTTTTTAAATTGTATTTTAAAGGATCAAAAAGAAAAAGCGATCGAATGGAATCTACTGACACCAAGCGACAAAAGCCTTCTGTCCATTCAAGACAATTGATCTCTAAGCCATTGAGCTCATCTGTTAGCAATAACAAAAGAATAGTTAGTACAAAAGGAAAATCAGTCACAGAATACAAAAATGAGGAATATCAAAGATCTGAACGAAATAAGCGTCTAGATGCTGATCGGAAAATTCGTCTGTCAAGCAGTGCCTCCAGAGAACCTTATAAGAGTCAACCTGAAAAAACTTGCCTCCGGAAAAGGGATCCTGAAAGGAGGACCAAGTCCCCTACGCCAGATGGTTCTGAGGTAGTGATATTATTGCAGATGTAAAACAGCAATGCTTTTTGATGCTTTAGAACTACTCATTCCCTCTGACCTTGTCTGTTGTATGACTGCTGATTCCCTTTTTCTTTAAACATCAGAGAGTTGGGCTTGAAGTGGATAGACGTGCAAGCAGATCCAGCCAGTCTTCTAAGGAAGAAGTGAACTCTGAGGAATATGGCTCCGACCGTGAGACTGGCAGCAGTGGTTCTTCCGATGAACAAGGCAACAACACCGAGAATGAGGAGGAAGGAGTGGAAGAAGATGTAGAGGAAGATGAAGAGGTAGAAGAAGATGAAGAGGTGGATGAAGATGGAGAGGAAGAGGAGGAAGAAGAGGAGGAGGAGGAAGAAGAGGAGGAGGAGGAGGAGGAAGAAGAAGAATACGAACAGGATGAGAGAGACCAGAAGGAGGAGGGAAATGATTATGACACTCGAAGTGAGGCCAGCGACTCTGGTTCTGAATCCGTTTCCTTCACAGATGGGTCTGTCAGATCTGGTTCAGGCACAGATGGATCAGGTACTACTTTTTATGTAAAACTTTGTCTTTGGGGGAAGAAACCTTGATTTGTTTAGTTATTGAAAATGTTCAAGTTATACAGTTTTTGAGAGATGGGGGATATTAGTAGGATTGTCTTGCCATCTTTTATAGTCAATTGTATGCTATTGAGTGTTGTAAATAGGTGTGTATAATTTGAATGAGATTTGCATATTTCAGTAAAGGTGTTTCCCAGCTTCAGATTGATTGTGTGTGTTGTAAATGAGCACAAATCCAGGCTGGGTACAGTGACTCACACCTGTAATCCGAGCACTCTGGGAGGCCGAGTTGGGAGGATTGCTTTTAGCTCAGGAGTTCGAGACCAGCCTCAGCAGGAGTAAGACCCTATCTCTACTAAAAATAGAAAAATTAGCTAGACATCATGGTGCGCACCTATAGGCCCAGTTATTCGGGAGGCTGAGGCAGGAGGATCACTTGAGCCCAAGTAGTTTGAGGTTGCAGTGAGCTACGATATGCCACTGCACACTGCAGGGAAGACAGAGTGAGATTCTGTCTCAGAAAAAAGGAACACAAGTCCAATTGTTTCTCTATAAGGAAATGTATTTCAGATTTTTATGTCGTAAGTTCTTACGTTTTCATACCAGTCGACAACAGCTTATTTAAAACACTAATGTACTCGAAGTATATTCACGAGAAACATGTCCACTAGGTATTACAATATTTCCATGGGAAAATGCCCCTAGATTTCTATCATGTGTCAGCAGGACCGAAACAATTCTTTCTTTTTTCCTTGGGAGCACAAACTTTTTTCTTAATTCTGTACCTGTGAGTTGACTGGCTGAGACAGGGTCCACAGAGGCTGGGGTGAAAAGGTACAAGATGGAAAAGAAGAGTATAAATAAGGTTCTTGTGGAAAGATTGCGTAAGAGCTTATCTTGGGTCATTTTTTCAGTACTACATGTCCTGCCTCTTCTTCCCCTATCTCATCCGTGAGAAAAAAATGTGTGACTATCAGGTAGTTTCAGTCACTAGGCTGAAGGAGCCCTCTGGTCAGAGGAAACCCTGAGAGCACAGCAAGGAGACGTCAGGGTACTTATAGACCCCTGGCTACTTTATGGTGATTAAAGTCTCATGACTGTCTTATGTAAAGGTGCTACCAGATTGCTACATAAGCAAAATGTAGTAAAATCAGCCTTTTGTTCACTAGAGTTGTAGGTTTGTGAGTTGAAACAAGTTTTTTAAGGCGGTTAAAGAGTTAAATAGATGAGTAGTTAGGTTTGATGTAAAAACTAGAATCTTTAATTTCATGCTCCCATCATGCTTTTTGCAAACTGATGGGATATATCTTTTATAATTCGTATTAATGGGTAGGGAACAAAAATTGCATTGGCAGTATGCATTGAATGTTCATTTATTGTGGAGGATGTGTGAAACCACCCATTGGGGAAGGGAACATTTTGTTATAAGAATCTTCTTTTTGGGGGGAGGGAGGGCCAAGGGCAATATAAGTACCCTAAACAGTTTTACCACCATAATATGCTGAAATAAAAAAGAATCTTCTTTTTGATATCTGTTAGGAACAGTGTTTCTTAAACTTGAATGTTTGTGTAAGTCAAAGGGGACTTATTTAAATGGATAAGGCCTGAAATAATTTGCATTTTTAATAAGCTAGATTAGATGATGCCAGTACTGTAGCTAGGTACTTGATGATACTTTACTTTTGTGGAGAAGACATTTCAAATTGAATGGTAGCCTATATTTTTAAATAAATTTTGATATCAAATCTGTTAATAGAAGAAGTTCATTGTTTTAAAAGAAATACCTGGAACCCTTATTTTCCTTATTAAAAGAGAATTCCTTATGTGGAACATGCATTTGGGACTGTTTTTAGTGTGCAGCAAATTATTTTTTTCATATGGTAGTTTCTTTTTAGAATTCATGAAAGAAAAATGGGATGGATTTGGAACTTTTTAATTAGGAGATACCGGTTTTGGGTTTTTGGGGTTTTTTTTAATGAAGAAGGAGTCTTGTTATGTCACCCAGGCTGTAGTGCAGTGGTGTTATCATAGCTAATTGCAGTCTCAAATTCCTGGCCTCAAGCAGTCCTCCTGCCTCAGCCTCCTGAGTAGCTAGGACTACAGACAAGCACCATCATGCCTGGCTAATTTTTTTCTTTTTTTTTTTTTTAATCTTTTGTAGAGGTAGGGCTATGTTGCCCAGGCTGATTCTGAACCCCTGGCCTCACACAATCCTCCAACCTCAGCCTCCCAAGGATTGAGGACTACAGGCGTGAGCCACCGCACCTGCCTATGGAGATGCCAGTTTTTAAATACCAGGGATCTCACAGTTTAGTTTCTGTTACGAATATTCTAGATTGCAGTTTATTTTACCTTATTTTTTCTGGAGAATTTTTAGTAACATCTTTATAAAAGCAATATGCTCATCGATAAAACTTTTATTAGATGACTTTCATTTTTTTTTTGACCCTGAGGTAATAGTCGGGGGGAGGGGGTGATAAGAGCAGTGGGAGTTATTAAAAAAGAGGAAAATTCCTTTTAGAGGTTTCATACTAATGCTAAGTTTAGCGTTATATAAAAACAATTGGGCAAGATCTTCTGCTTCTATTTTGTCCCCTGCCTTATCTCAGTAAGGGATCTTTAGTACCTTGAACCAGGAAATAGTAATAACAACAGCAACAATAAAAACCCTCAAAACTGGTTAGACATGTAGTTCCCTTTCCAGGATAGTAGTAAAATATCTTTTTCATTCACTTGATAAGAATAGAGCTCAGAGCTTGTACTCCCAACCCAGGGGACCTGCCTTTGAGTCTAAGTTCTGCCAACCAGGAACCTAGACCCTGGCCAAGTTGCCTAACCCCCCCCATAAGCTGAGGTTTCTTCATCTGTAAATGAGAATAGCTCAAGAACTTGTTCTGAGAATTAAGGGAGAGAATTTATTTAAAGCTCTTTAAATAGTTAGGCGTCACATAGTTTTTGAGCAGTGTCTTGAAAATAGAACACTTTCTGAGGAAATTGAGGGATCGGGAGAAGAGATAAAGATGGACTAATATAAGGGCCGTGCAAAAACCAGACACATGATGATACATTCTTGTTTGATTACTTGTGTTAGTTTCTGTATTGTGATATTTGAAAAACTCTTGTTTGGATTCTTTTTAGATGAGAAAAAGAAGGAAAGGAAGAGAGCTAGAGGCATATCTCCAATTGTTTTTGATAGAAGTGGAAGCTCTGCCTCAGAGTCGTATGCAGGTATTCTCATTTTACCTTTATTTGTGATCATATCTGACCGATTCTAATGTAATCTGCTTTAGAAGTGTGTGGAGGCTGTAGTTTAGTGTGAACTTGTTGATGTCCATTAGTACTGATTTTGGCATGTTCAGTGTAATAATTCTAGAGGAAACTAAGCTTTTTCTTATTATTTTAATCCTGTTCTGTTATTGCTTAAGTGGAATTTTTACTTTTTTTTTTTTTCTTGGAAGATGATGATTCAGTGACTAGTTTTCTGAGTGGGAAATTGTTCAAATATATTTTTTTAAAAAATCCAAACAACCCAAAAAGCAAAACACTCGTACACATTGAGAAGTATTTTTTTGTGTGTGTGGGTGCGCCAGGAGGAATAATTTGTCTTGAATGAGAATTTTATGTGACAAGACTGTAGAAATTTTGTCTTATCTCTATTAAAGCTCAATCTGAACAAATGTACTTTGGCTAAATACAGGTTCAGAAAAGAAGCATGAGAAATTATCATCTTCCGTTCGTGCTGTCCGAAAAGGTATCATTTAAATTTGAAATTGTTTCCATTGCATGCTGCATAAAGTCATTATTTTGCCTTATTAGTTCTCCATTAATAGTTGGTTTTAATGTAGTAATGTTCTGATATATTAAG